GCAGTGTGAACTACGAATGTGCATTTGGATTTGGAAATATTCTGAATTCACCCAATAATACCATATTCAGATTGTTCAAATCCAAATTGAAATCCAAATCTGATTGTTCTGAATATCTGTAACAATACTTCCTAATATTTGGAGTCCCATTTGGAGTCCCCACCTAAATGTCCTGGTTCATGCCCCTAGGGGTACATGTGCCCCGGTTTGGGAATCATTGTGCGAGAGGAAGAAGTAAAAGTGAAACCTTTTTCTCAGGCATCTAGGAGTGAGTTCTTGAGAAATGAAAAAAGATGTTGTGATTCTCTCTGTCTCTCTCTCTCTCTCTCTCTCTCTGTGTGTGTGTGTGTGTGTGAGAGAGAGATTTCCATTGTAAGTGGTTGTATTCTGCAGAATCAGATACAGTACTGTTCCTCGGGTAGATTCTGCAGGCAGTATGAAATGTGTGGTAGTAGAAATGCTTCTACTGAGTGGAGTGGGAGAGGAAGAGGAAAAAGACAGCCTACAACTGCTATTAGGAGCCCCCTAAACAAAATCTGTCACTCAGCTGCATTCTTCAGCACTAACACAATGTTAGGCAGCAGCAGGGTGTGTGCATCTCTGCCAAGGAGGTGGCGGAGAAGCATCTGGTTCAAGATGGGACAGACAGGAGTGAACCTCTTACATGTTCCCGTGGCATCTTTGTGCAATTCACCCAGTGCAAAGGGCCAGAAAAGGTGGTGAAGAAGACACTTTTCTCCCAGAGCCAATGAAGGACAAGGATGACATCAGCACTAAGACTGGGCAACTTGGGCAGCAGCAGTGCTGCTACTTTTGTGGCTGGGAAAGGGATTTATCAAGGGCATCAGGGATTGCTTCCCATAACCATGTCATGCAGCTTCATCATATTTAAGGAAGGGTTTATCCCCCAGCCCCCATTTTCAGCAAATCTCTTTTGTGCATAGCAGCATTGTGGTTAGTGTGAACTCCCCTTCAAATATATATACACATCTGACGTTGGAGAGGAGACTGAGGGGACTCAGATGGCCCCGATTTCAGAAACATGTGACACTGAAATTATTTCTTCCCCTTTGGCTATACTTGCCCCACCACTTGCCAGAACTAGGAGTGATGACAAGTTAGCAATCCCTGTTAGAACATGCAGTCAAAAGCTAGAGCCCACAGTAAATCAATAATCTGGAAGCATTTCCAGCAGTGTGTAGCAGATGCTCACATGGCTGAGTGCATGTAATGCAAGAAGGTGCTCAAGCATGGGCAGGACTTGGACCATCTCTCCAACAATAGCATGCTCAGCCACCTGAAGAATCAGCACAGGGCATTGCTGCTGGCCAATGAAGAGGGTACTGTGGGAGCAAGCAGCTCCCTTATTCCGAAGGATAAGAGTCATCAGAGGGCACAGGTTGAGCTGCTAGCCCAGGAAAATGGGGAGGGAGATGGACAAACAGCAAGAGGTGGGAGGCAGCAAATGCCAGAGCCACATCCCAACAATAAGTTACAGGCTACACTGGAGGTGTTTGGAGGGGTGCAGGAAAAAGACTTCTGCAGATGTAAAAATGACAAGAGTACAGTGGTGCCCCACATGACAACGATAATCCATCCTATGAAAATCGCTGTTTAGCGAAATCGTCGTCATGTGAAAACCCTTTCCCCAATGGAATGCATTGAAACTCAGTTTAATGTGTTCCAATGGGGAAAATATCTCGTCGTCCAGCGAAGATTGCCCATAGGGAATCCATTTTGTGAGCGCCAATCAGCTGTAAAAATGGCTGTCCTGCGAAGCATGGGTCCGGAAAACACAGGGCAGCCATTTTGCAAAGCCGAAAAAACCATCATCTTGCGAACAAACAGTTCGCGAAGCAGGGACCTAATCGACGTCCAGCGAAAATCCCCCATTGGAAAGACTGTTTTGCGAATCTCTATAGCAATCACAAAAAGTCATCGTTATGTGGATTCGTCATTTAGTGGGGTCGTCGTTTACTGAGGTACCACTGTATTCATTGCCCAAGGGAGATAATAGACCCAGATGACCAGCCAAAAGCCTGCAAGTAGGAGCCTGCAAGCCAAAAGAGACTGCTCCTTTGTCCTCCACTTTGGCCAAAGTGGCAGTGGGACTGTGTCTTGCCTACAGTTAGTGTGTCCAGTGAGTCCACACTCATGCCTGGAACCTGGCTCTGTAGGAAAACGTATTTTCCTTGAGGTCAACCTATCATTGCTGGGCTTCCCTGAAGTCCCCTTTAAGTAAGAGAGAGTGGCAAACTCTGTACACTGGGTATGCCATACTTCAGTCTACTACCCCTTCCTTCTGCCTCTTTCATTTTTCCAACTGCTACTCCAAGATCATGTTAACTCACTCAGTTGTGCTGTGCTCCAAGTTGTTGGCACAGTTCCCAACCACCACAGGCTACCTGCTGCTCCAATCTGCCTGCTTGTGCTGCCCAGGGTATTTGCCCACTCCCTAGTGCTTCCTCAATGCTGCTGGCATTTCCTACTGGTATTTCCCACTGTTCAGGGTTCAATCAGTACAGCTCCTTACAGTCTTTTCCTAATACCTTGCCACTGCTGTCTGTGCACTCTGTGCACACACCCTTTTGGTGTGCACTCTTTTTGTGTGGCATAATAACTGGGAAGGTGTCAGAGGACACAAGGAAACCCTTTAGCAATGCTTTGCCTGTACTGTATGTGTTTTTTAAAAAGGGGGAAATAATGTCTATATGGTATTCATATTAACTGTAACAGAGTTCTGGGTATCTAGAAATTCCAAATGTTTAAAAAGTCCACATTCCATATGCAAAGAGCTGTAATTCCAAATTCCGATTTTGAATCTGAATTTTGGTGCTATTGCACATCCCTAGTGTGGATTGTTATGATGGGATAGTTAAACATTTTGTTGTGAATGACAGTAACAATTTCAGCAGTGGAAACTGCCAGGGACATGGTATAGAAAACTTAGAATAAACCTGAATAAACCTGGGACTACCTCTCTATGTAGTCAAGCCCCCAGCCAAAGAAGCGAAAATGAGTAACTGGGAGGCACTGTGGAACATAGGGAGCCCTGCTTTCTAGATTCAGGCATAGTGTATCATATAGTTCTGGCCTAAGTTTCCCCAGTCGTAATTAGTTCAATACAAAATGTGGCATTTTGAGGACTGACTGATGCCTCCAACATAGCCTTAATGGAGGTACCTGGCAGAGTAGAGACCTCATCAGTGTCTGCATGCTTAGTGGACAGTTTATTGTCCATCTGCTGCCATTTAGTACCCTAAATTTGAATCAAATTCTCATTGTCCAGATGATTAGCAGGTATCCAATGCAATTAAAAGGCGTGTTCCCTTTTAATTATAACCATTATGCTGTATTGCACCATTCATGTATTTCTGGCATCATTGGCTGTATAGAGATGAATGTCCTAATTAGGACAAAAATCTAACCATCTCCTTCAAGTAATGGGACATGTGTTACACACAGGTTGATTAGAACCATCCATTATCTGAGGTCCACACTGTACCTGATGATGACAGACTGATGGTGAAATAGAGGTCTGCTGTAATAATGGATGTAATATAAAGCATAAAAGAGGCATATGGGTAGGTGTTTTTGAAGTCATCCCACCAGTCTTTTCTATATAGTGCATCCTCCATATCCTTTTTTCTCCCAACAGGGCT